GGACAAAAATTACTTGGAAGTCATTGAATATCTTTCAGGGATGTTAGATAAGAAGCATAGGAATGATGGAATTGAGCAAGGCAATGCAAAGTATTGCAGATATCTAGAAAAAAGTGTTTTTGAGGAGATTTTGAATACCCAAAAACATTATGTTAGTCCTCTATCTTATGAAGATGCCCGGAATTTATTCGAAACATTGTAATTCGTGTATAGTCTGTGTCTGTAACATTATAATTGTTATTAAAACTGTATCTTAATGAATATATCCTTTAGTTAAACACATTATTGAAGCTAGCTGACTCAATTTATTAGATTCCTAGTATAGATATGTATGGCTTCCGAGAGTTTGGAATGTCCTAAACTCAAATTCTTTCTTGTATATATGGATAACAATCTCTACAAATCCCATACCTCTTTTTTGAAGGATGAAAGAGTTCAAAGTATACATTTGAGGATTTTATTGCACTACTTTATCTCTTCCTTGTCTAAAAAACCTTCACACATTGTGTCTGGACACTGCCTGCTTGGAGATATACAAAAGTTGGAGACTTAGCAATTAGAGATTCTTAGTCTTGTGGCCACTCCTGTAGAAAGAAAGAGTTGCCTAAGAAATAGGACAATTGACTCCGTCTGAAGTTGCTAGATTTGAGATTGCTACCTTAAAGCATGTCACCAGATGTATGAGATATGCCATGGTCAACTCCAGCAGAGTCTTTTGGAGATTAAGAATTTGAATTTAAAGAATTGATACATAGGGCATCTCTTCTCATCTCCATGGCTGAAAAACTTTCTCAGATTGAGGAATTAAAGTGACTGATTACAGAAGCTAAAAGAAATTTTTGCTGAAGCGCTTAGGATCATGTCCACCAGACAGAAGCAACAGAAGGTTGAGCTCACCCATTGCATTACTTGAAGTTGAAAGTCATACCACAACTCAAAAGTTTTGGCTTCAACTGGAAACTAATTATCCAGAAAAATAATTGCAGAGAATCTTTCTTAATTTAGAGGCAGAGTAGGCAAATCTAGTGCAAACACAATGTGGACATAAAGCTAATGTACATGAAGTACTCGCTCTGACCATGTCCAGGAAACGGTTGTAGAGCTTCAAGTATCCACAAGGTCCTCTCAATAAAACAAAATAAACATTCAAACCTTAAAAACATGAAACAATGAATTCTAAAATGCTTCTAATTATCCACCAAGTAGAATTAATGAATTGCAAAACCAAACAACTACGTCAAAGCCACTGCACACTGCCCTTTTCAAATATATGATAAGACAGAGCTCCATACAGAAGACATCACAAGTAAAATCTTTCACTCGTTCTGTTAATGTCCTGTGTAATGAATATAAAATCAGGCAGTATTGTTTGAGCAGCTTAAAATATGTAGCTCAAGCATACAATGATATGACAAAAAAATCTATTACAAATAGTGAATATTGCAATAAAACTTTATCAGTTAAACATTATTTGCATCATCAGGGATTATGACCTACTTATTGAGACAATGGATCAGACCTTGTCTTCCACAAGTTGCTCCACAGCATCAAGAGTGTTTCCACCTTCAAAATCATATTAATTCAACATTAAAATGCCCAACCATTAAATTCATAAAATCAAAGGATGAATTCAATTAGTAATTGAATTGACCACATCTACCGCGGACAAAATGTTGAAATATACCTGAGTTTGAAGGCATAAATACTGAAACTCATCCTGTAATATGCAAAAGAGGCAACATTTGAAAAACAATCATAGACTAGAGCAAAGCATTTAAATCCTTAAAAAAGCATAAGGAAAATCTACCTCAATGTTTCATCAAAGAAGTAATCACCTGAATGTTCCATACCAAACTGTACACCCACTACTTCAAATTTCAAACATTAACCAAAGGAGCTGCGAGAGAGAGCAAGGGTAATGAAAAGGGCCGAATGAAATGGGCCTGTTTTAGCAAACCAAACATCCTCAAGGGCCAAACACATGTTCTAGATTCCCATTTTAAAAGATAGCTGTTGAGTGCTGACTTGGGGGGTGTTTGTCTAAACTTATAAGCTGGTCAAACTAGTTTATAAGCTCTAAAATTAAACTGACCTGTTTGTTTATAACTTTTTTTAGCTTATAAGTTGAGCTTATAAGCCAAAAAAAATAAGTTGGGAGGGAGGTACTTTTTTTTTTTTTGCTTATAAGCACTTTGCTTATAAGTTAGTTTGACCAAGTATATTACCACATTATCCTTGTTTAATTTTAAAATTCTATAGTATATCCTTATTTAATGTAGTACCTTTTTTAGTTATTTTATAATAAAATGTACTTATAAGCCACATTTTACCAAACACGTCAACTACTTATCAGTTACTTATAAGTATTTTAACCAAACACGTAATTGCTTAAAATTTCAAATGCTTATAAGCTAATTTTAGCTTATAAGTAATTGTTGCTTATAAGCTAATTTTCATAAGCTCAGACAAACACCCCCTTGCTTATAAGAATATTGCTAATTCAATATGAATAATATAATCAGTTAATGGAATACAAATGTTTGAATCCAAGAATTGTGACTCCTAAAGAGAATAAAATATTGGACTGTGGACTCTCTCATCCTCGCCAATTTGGGTATGAAGATCCAGTCCGAAACAAACCCATCTCGGATTTAATATTTGCCAGAAATTCGGCCTAACATTATAGAAATGGGCTTTATAGAAATCCAGAAAATGAGTTGGGTTTTTGAGCCCACTGACTGACCTATTTCATGAAGATTATTAAGATTTTGGCATTATGTTATCATCTAATGTTTATTTTTTTAATGTAGATCAAACTAGTAAACATGCTTACCTGTTTATGTATTATAATTTTTACAATGTAAGAGTAAACAAAGTTGTTTGCTACATGAGTTTTATATTGACAAAATTTGTTACAGGCACCAGCTCCTCCACTACTGAAGACACCTATTGGCTATTGCTACACCACCACCACCGGTGAGCCCACCCAAAGCAACTCCACCACCACCAGTGAGCCCACCCAAGTCCACACCATCTGTACCAGTGAGCCCACTAAAAACCACTCCATTACCACCAGTCAGCCCACCTAAGACTACTCCACGAACAGTGAGCCCACCATTGCCTCCAGTAACGACAAAGATAGGTAACAACATATCTATACAAAAAAAATACTCGGAACAGACTTCAAATCCTAACAATTTTTAGTCTTTTGTTGACAATATGTATATATACTTTTTTGTTGCTTTTTTGGGCAGATTGCCTCCCACTATGTGGAGAGAGGTGCAAATTACATTCCAGGAAGAATCTCTGTGTTAGATGAAAAACGAAGATGAATGAAAGTGGAGGTAGCGAAGATGAAAAGCGAACCAGTTTTGCCATGGATGCGAAGGTCAGTTGACGTCACTAACTTTGAAGAACGAACTCTTGAAGCCGTACCTTGTCTGGACTCAAGGTAGCCACATATATTTTTTTGGTTAATTTTATAATTTTGTAGTGTTTTAGAGTATGCATTCATGATTTGTATTCGATTAGGTTGAAGGTGGCTTTGCAGAATATGAGTATCTCATCGCTCTTCCCAGTGCAACTTGCAGTTTGGCAAGAGACCATAGGACCTGGTTGTTTTGAACGAGATCTCTGCATCAATTCACCGACGGGAAGTGGTAAAACTTTAGCTCATGCTTTGCCAATAGCTTAAATGTTATCGAATCGTGCTGTTCAATGTCTACGTGCTTTAGTGGTTTTGCCTACTCGTGATTCAGCTTTGCAGGTAATTTTTCTCAGGACTGTATTGCTGTATCTGTATTGTCATATTACCCAAGTTTATAGAATAATACTATTTCAAACTCTATTGTTGTACTAAATGAATGGAAGAGTATAGGTAAAAGAAGTTTAGTCGTTTAATGATGATGAATAATGTTTTATTTTAGTTGTACTTGTAATTAGAAAAACACCTAGAATACCATAATAAGGTAATGCATTTATTTCATCTATGAATNGATTTGCCTAGCCTTGTAGGATTAGGAAATTGAAGAGCGAGGAGAGGAATTGTGAGAGTTGGTCTTGAGTCAAACCGAACCCGTAGCGACAACGCTTTTAATATTGTGTTTTAGTTAGCAATTTATTTAATGCTTTTAATTTCCTGCAAGTAATTAGTTTCCTTAGTTTTAATCAATCATTTTGCCAATTTCTCTTTCGGTAACTCAAATATACATTAGGTCGTTAGTCTTGCTCTCTGTGGATTCGACCCTGCTTACCGCTAACTACGGTACTTAGGTTTATTTTGGTGACCGTGACGACCGGTCTAACAATAATACTGCTAATTATCCACCAAGTGAAGAATCAATGCATATCGAAAAAACCAAACAAATACTGTTTAGAAGCCAACCTGCACACTACCCTTTTCAAATAATATGATAAGACCAGAGCTCTAATACAGAAGACATCATGAGTAAAATCATTTCACTCATTCTTGTTAATGTACTGTGTATGGATACAAGTGTAATAGTTTTCCAAATGACCATATAAAATCAGACAGTATTGGTTTGAGCAGCTTAAAATATGTAGCTCAAGCATACAACGATGTGACAAAAACATCTATTACACATAGTGAATATTGCAATAAAACTTTATCAGTTAAACAAGTATTTACATGCCATCAAGGGATTAGATAGACCTACTTATCTGAAGACAATGGATCCAGGCCTTGTTCTTCCACAAGTTGCTCCATAGTATCAAGAGTGTTTCCCGCCTTCAAAATCATATTTAATTCAACATTAGAATGCCCAACCAATTAAATTCATAAAATCAAAAGGAATAAATTTAATTAGTAATTGAATTGACCACATCTAGCCGCAGACCAAAGTAATGAATAGAAATATACCTGAGTTTCAAGGCATAAAGACTGAAACTCATCCTGTAATATGCAAAAGTGGCAACGTTTGAAATTAACAATCATAGCCTAGTAACAACGTATTTAAATCCTTTAAAAAACATAAGGAAAAATCATACCTCAATTTTTTCATGCAAAAAAGTAATCACCTGAAACTGTACACCCATTAGTTCAAATTTCAAACATGAACCAAAACAAAATTTAAAAGAATTAAAAACAGGTCTGAGTAGATGTTTAGAGAGGGGACCTGGATGAATAGGCGGTGGAGGGAGTCTTGCTCAGAAGAAGTAAAGTTATTGAATGCTTTGCTGAATTCCTTTTTCAATTCAAAAAAGAAAAAAAAAATAGTGGTAAATAAGAGAATTGATAGTGAAAGTGGATGAAAAGAACGTAGAAAATTAAGCAGTGAAGAAAAGACACTTGTTTTGAGCAAGTAGTGAGAAGAGAACGAATTGCGAGCTTCAAAGACTTGTTAAGATCCGATTGTCTTGACCCGACAAGATCACCCATTTTCTCCATTTCTCACAAACTTACAGGTCACAGCCACGAAGTGGAAGAGAGTGTAGGAGCTGCGAGAGGGAGCAGGGGATAATGAAATGGGCCGAATTGAAATAGGCATGTTTCAGCAAACAAAACATCCTCAAGGCCCAAATCTGAATATTTCTGTGTTTAAATATACAATAATGTTTTGATTACAATCGAGTCATATATATACATAAAAATTGTACAAAATTTATATAAAATAACTACTTTATCATTTGTTTTTTATCTGTTTGTATGACTCAGTTTGATGCATAGTATTACTCATAGATATATCATATATTTCCAATGATGTAAAGATATATCATATATTTCCTTTCAAGAATTCAAGGGAACCATTTGGAAGTGTGAACAATAACAGTGAGATTTTATATATCCTATAAACATTTTTATCTATAAAAACAGAGAACAAACAAAGCAAATTAGAGCTCTTCTATTTCTATTCCCCCGTTTTCTGTCAAACTTTGATTAAACAAACAATAATAGTTTCAACATGTGTAATAATGATCTATCCAGGTTGTATAGACAGTTTTGTTGATATATTGGTAAACAATTTGCTATTTATCACCTCACTCATTAAGACTTCGGCATGCTTACATGTACTTCATTTTTAACCTAGATCAAACTATTAAACATGCTTACTTGTATTATAATTTTTTGAGAAAACGACCTATTCCCACCTGAGATTTGGCGAAATCCTAAGTTAGTACCCCTGATTACATTTATTCCAATTCTCACCCTTAAAGTAAATACTGCTAGCAATTTTTAGGTTACAAACAATGCAATTATCATAATGCCCTTAATAAATAAATTAATACAATTATAAATTTACCATTTTATTTTTAAATTACTTCAATAACACCTTCAGTGGCTACGCACCCTGTCGATTTTTGCTCGATCTGGGCTATTTCCAATGGTGTTGAACCCCCTGGTCACCTTTATCACCTTTCGCATAGTCTGTCGTCTAAACCCCTTTGGTTCCCGACTCATTAGCCCCTCTAATTGCTGGTGCAGTTTGGTTTAGGGTTTCCTTGTTTTTCACTGGATTTCGACGGTAAAAATCCAATTAAACACCACCACTTCAACCAACGTCTCCAACTTTATAAAACCCCTATGTCCCCACCAACTATTTAGTTGCCATTTGCCGGCCGAGAGGTTTGTGTTCATCATGTTTTTGGTGAAGTGGTAGACAGAAAATTGTGAGTTGTCGTGGTCGGGAAGGATAGGGATTTTTTAGGAGGGATGCGAGGAGTCAAACGGTGGTGGTGGTTGGGATTGTAACCGCTCAAAATGGCCAAAAACTGGAAAAAAATAATTGCATGTCATGACTGCTGTGGTTGGCAATCGGCGAGTGATGAGGGGTTGTGAAGGGAAAGGTTTTATAGAGAGAAGGATGGGGGTTCAAATGGTGGTGACAAGGGTGCTCTTGGGTGAAAGAATTGCTTGAAAAGGGTGAAAAAAGCTGAGGGTAATGTTTGTTAATGTGCGTTGCCTCCTACAAAATGACCAATTTACCTATTCACCGTTAAATCAAACACTTTTTTGTCACTTTAAGGGTGTGAATCTGGAATGAATGCAACCAAGGGTACCTACTTAAGATTTCGCCAAACCTCAAATGAGAATATGTCGTTTACTCTTTATAATATATATAGCCAACGTACTATACAATATACATAAATAAGTTATGTAAGTTATAAATGCGTAGTTCTTAATTTTCAACTTTATAAGTTGTAACAACATGGAAATGAAATGAAAAAAATTAAGTGGCAATATTTGGTTTTCATTTGTGGTTAGTTTTTGTGAGTGAATTCTTGGGAAAATTGTGGTCTCAGAAAATCATATATCATCTGTTGTGAAGGCTAAAGAGAAAGCAAAGATGCATATTCGGATCCGAAACTCAAAGGAATAATTAAAATGAGAAAAGCTATAAGAATATTTTGATATTGATTAAGTAGAGATATCATATATCAAGTACAATATTATTATCCCCATTCCCTTATATATTTGGACCACCATTCTCGTGTTTTATTATATTATATGAAGGTTTTGATGCCATAAAAGGTAATCCCAAATATATGGCAAAAGAATATCCTAGTATAAACGTCAAATAGGAAATAAATTATTATCTTGGGAAGGAAGATATTGATAATCAAATAAAACAAGTCATGCAAAAATAGACAAAAAATATTCACTTTTCCAAATAACATTTCAACGTCGCAAAAATATAATTATTTCAAGCCAAATTTCCTTTGGGAAACTTATAAGGAATGTAATTAATTAATAAAGTTGTCAATATCTTATGATATTTTAATTAATTATTTATATGTTTTTTTTTTGCTACATGCAAATCAAATATTAAAATGTTTAACCACCAACTTGTGGCCGGATGGATAGAGGGGCATATGGTTGAAACTTGAAAGAACCCCTACCCCGGTTTTTATTTCAAATAAAAAAAATATTAAGAAGTTTTATGTTTCAAAGTTCAGCTGTCCAAAATTTTTTTACAACAGTGGATTTATAACATAAAGTTTGTAATTTATAAAGCCAACCATAATTTTGTTAAATATAAAGTTCTTTTGCATACGGACTATAACTAATTAAACTCAATTTTCTCAAGTTTTTCTTTCAAACATTTTGTTGAGATTACGAGTGTGCAATATCCTTTGATTATATTAGACAAATTCTAATGTGGGTATGAATACTTCAGATATAAGGAAGAATCCCGAACACGGGAATTAATTGTGCATGAAGCAGTGACAAAACTCCTGCAATCACAACCTCAGTAAGATAAAAAAAGATTTTATTTTTTTATTTTTTTTCACCATTCTTTATTTTAGTATTTACTGGTTTCATTTGGATTACTGGTTTTAATCTGAGGTTGTAGTCTAATAGAATTAATTTAATGAGCTAAAATATTAAATCTATCTCGCTAATTCATGGCTTCGAAGGTGATATACAAGTTTTTGACAGTATAATTGATCATCTTGTTGAGCTGCCTGAGCTGATCATGATGGCCTCACCAATTGCGCCAATATTTCTAACAATTAATTATCATTGTTTGAGCCAAAAAATAATGACTCAGGCAGAAATTGTTGCGGAGAGGTATGTGAATGTCAATAGGAGATTTGCTCAAACTAGTAGATTTCTACGGATCCAGCAATCACTTACACAAAGATTCGCTAACGTTAAAGAGGCCAGATGGTTTTTACTAGTGTTTCCCCTCCGACGATTAAGTCAAATACAAAATAAAAAACCGTAGCAAAACGGAGTGTAAAAGACATATTCTCACTTGACGATTGACGAAATTAAGTTGATACCTCTAGTTGTACTAATTTCAAATTCTCACCTTTAAACTAATATCATTAGTGACTGTTGGAGGTGGTCGAAAACAATGACTAAGGTCTGCAAGTGAAGGTATGAGTTTTGTAAAAGAGGTTGTAGGGAGTTCAACGATGGTTTCGAAAGTGATTTTAGACTTCGAAACTAGTCAAAAAAAAGCAAAAAACTGTCGGCTTGAACACTACCAACATGAGCCGCTTTTTGCTAAAATGTGTCCACTTTATGCCAAAGAAAGCTTCAACGCATTTTAGCATGCTAACGTGCACTTTGTTACAGTGAATCATTGGGATCTGTTAAAATAAAGAAAACATTGTTACTTTAAAGATAGAAATCAAGAACAAATGTAATCAAGAATATCAATTTGAGATTCCAAAACGTCGGTGGGAATACGTCGTTGGCTCTATAAAAATGATGTCCCACCTACCATTTCAACACCAAGTCATTTACACCTAACATTATGCTTGAAAAATTATTTATTTATTTATTTTTTAATGTACGAAGCACATTAGGAAATGGAAGAGGCTAAAGGAGTGGTGAAGCACATTTTAGTCGCTAGGTTCAAAGACGAGGTAAAATCAGAAGAAATTGATCAGCTCATCAAAGGCTATGCTAATCTTGTCAATCTCATCGAACCCATGAAGTATTGTCAATAGTAATATGATAAACACTCAATATGCGATCTTGTTTAGCTTACTGTTTATATGGGTTATGGGGTTTCTGAGTTTTGGAAAATCCTGCTATAGTGTTTTTAATGGCGCCTTATTGAAAGACCAGAATACTCTTTCTGTGATTTAAAAGCATTGCACTTTACATTCTGTGAAGAATTTACCAAACCTCTGGTTATTTGTCTCTTAACCTTTTCAAAAGCATGTTTTGATGCAAATCTTGAGTCCTGGTGGCTCATTGTAGTAGTCGTATTGCTGCCAGCCTGCCCTTATAGCTGTTTAACAAATTACGCTTATAATATACTTGTCTGGATCTACACAATTTCTGGAAAATTGCGATGTTTAAAACAATAACTTAGTGCGGTTTTGGTACCTGAGTTAAAAAATCTTGACCCTTTTGCCATTTTGTTATGTGTTGCAACAGGGGCAGGGATGTGAGTATTGAGAATCTGCATCAAGTTTTCACTCATATCTTTGAATCTACCTTTGAGAGCACAGAGGGTGTTGCAGAGTATATAGCTCATCCTGCGCATGTTGAATTTGCAAACTTGTTCCTGTCCCATTTGGATAAAGTTTAGTGATAGACTACAAACCTACTACTTTGCGTTCCTGAATTGTACTGGTAATGCATTCATCAACTGTCTTGCTTTTGTTAGCCCTGGATATTAGGTCCGTTATCTTGAATAAGATTGGAGAATCATATAAATGTAATGCTTGTCAATCAGTTGTAATATGAAAGTGTAGGGTCTCTTTGAAAATTGTCCCCTGTTTCCTCTGTTTTCATTTACGCGACACGATGTCGTTTTACTCTTATGAATCATCTGCTTCAGCTCGTCAAGTATAAAAGATGAGCTGCTGTGCATCTGTAACTTTTAACTCATTACTAAGAAATGAAAATACTCTTCACTTGATTTTTCTTTGGAATATCCACCTCTCTTCTTTAAGTTTTACAATGCTGATGATGGTGAAATACATTGTGCTGTAAATCTAAATTTAAGAGAATAAATGGATACTCTCAAAT